ACTCCCGAACTCCCGCCCCAGTACTGGGTGGCGTCGAGCTTATCTCACCAATAAACTGCATAAAAGAGATTTTCGATGTCGGCGTACTAAACTCAGGTATTCCAGAATTGCAACGATAAAATTATGATGACAACACCTCAGAGCTCAACTCCCCGGGACACTTCCACTAAACCCCTGACAGGAGGCACCAAGACAATGTTCTCATCATAAAACCATCGGAACGATTCCAAGATACCTGCGTGATCCTAAAAAAAATTTAGTGAAATTTGAGAAGAGAAGAGTCAAAACTCTACGTCAGGATGCTTTACCAGAGCGATGAGGAGACTGGGAAGTAAAAAGAATTCCTAAACTCTCCGATATATAATTCCTAAATGACTCAAAACATTTTTCTAGACACAACTCGGCTGCTAAAAACGATCAAGCAATGGGGCTCCTAAGGTCAGGGAAGGCTCTGATTACCAACTTGTAACACCTTCAATGCGATTATGCCTCTAAGTCGTGCCTCGACACGTGGGAGATATAGTCGCATCGAGGGTGTTACACCAACTTAAGACCGAGAAATGTCCACCCAAAGGACAAATATGGAGTGTTGCTGTAACAGTTATATCTTTTTCAGTGTCATAAATTTGTTTTCATGAAAAATGTCTTTTATCTAAATGTCAACTTGTTTAATGCGATTTAGATGGAGAAGCCGAGACGCCTCGTTAGGACTCCTACATCCATAGATGGAACTCCTACAGCTGTAGACATCGTCGTGATGGTGGTTGAGTACACGAAGATCATGCTCGCCTATGTCGAGAGCACTCGGTCATACATCGAAAGTGCTGCAACATATGCCGAAAGCGCGAGAACAGCCGCCTGAGAGCACAAGAGTAGCAGCCAAGAGTGCGCGAGCAGCCGTCGAGAGTGCGCGAGTAGTCGACCGCGCAGGCCAATATCACGAAATTGTTGGAAGGCGAGGAGGGCTCATGATGGAGTTGAACTTTTACTTCTAATCTACTAGTGCACTGTCTTTATGTGATCTATATGTTCGATGTGTGTAAACTTCATTTCTATGTTGCTATGATGGAGCCGAACTTTTGCTTCTAAACTACTAGTGAACTGCCTTTATGTCATTTGTATCATCGATGCTTCTGAACGTATTTTCTATGATGCTATGAAGATTGCTACATGATTTTGCTTTATGTGATTGGATAACTATGAAATTAACTTGTTAGTTTGTTTATTTATCTTCGTAGATGAAGTGAAACTGGTATGTCGTGGACTATGAGAAGAGTTCAGGAGTTTATGATTCAGAGGAGAAATGCAATGAACAAGTGCACGGTTACGAGAATAACAGCTATAAAGGATATAAGACTGAAAAATAAGTACAGGATCGTTACCCCAACTTTGTCCGCAAAGAGAAAATCAACCACGAAGTATGCAAGACTGTGTGGGCGAGTAAAGAATTTGATTATCTTTATCCACTTCATTATCATTATCGTGTTGTTGTTGTCATGATGTCTTGTATGTATCTAACATGTTTGAGGCTCGCTGAGAAGGCTATGTGTACTAATGATGTTAACTGAGTTGTACTTTAATGCGTACATCTACTTTATTGTATTTGGATTATTGTTATGTTAAATGTGCTGCTGCTAATCTGAGACACGTCTATTGTAATGTTTATGTTGTTATGTGTATAATCACATATGTTAGTTGCAGTTATTGTTTATTGTTGTGCTTGTTTTGGCGGCTGGACATGTAGTTGTGGCGGGTGCCCCAGATTGGGCACCACAACTAACAGTATACAGTAAGATATGCCTGCCACTACAGAGAGTCTACCAGTGGTGGGCGCGCGCCCGCCACTGATGCCATGTAAGCAGTAGATGAGGTCAGTGGCAGGCGCCCCTGGGAGCCTCGCCCGCCACTGCTGAGCTTTTCCTACCCTCCACTGCTAGGCATTCCTGCAGTAGTGAGAATTGCGAGCAGGGAATTGAGATTCACGTGCACCACGGTTTGGAGGAGGAACATACGGTTGACCTTTTCCCATGTGATCTTGCTTGAAGCCGCTGAAATCCTAAGCAGCTTCACCAAGCCCGTGGCCCTCCGTACGCGATGATGACAATCTATTCATCCTTGGCGTTGAGTCCTTAATTACACTGACCGGTGCACATCTCCTCGAGCTCCTTGTTCAACTCCGCTCAAACGCCATCCATCGTTGCCGAAATCAACCCATCAACTGTTGTGATGTTCGCTTCGATCATCTTCCCTGTAGCCTCAAGGAGAGCCTCACCTTGGTCCTTGAGGCTGGCCCTAATCTGACGTGAAATCAGCATGGAGTAGCTCGTAGACCCCGCACCCTTCCTCTGATAGCTTGTCCATGGCCGCTGCTCGGTGACGATCTCGCCACCTTGTGCCGTGATTGTGTTTGGGAAGCTCTAGGACCATCGAATTTGATACCAACTGTAAGGAACACTCTCAATCTATGAAATGGAACTAGGGTTCATCACGAATTCGAGAGGGGAATTGAGTTTTACTGTAACTGACCGCCCAACCACCCACACAGCTACAAGATAAGATGAAACATTCAGCTGAAGCCGCCGTCCAGTTCCTTCCTATCTTCACATCGCAACATCTATCTAGTTAAAGGAGGCGACTGTTAACACAGTTAACAGGGCCAAGCTAGGTCTGAAAGCCACGACGGCTGCTTCTTCTGTCAAGTGGGCCGTGGACTCGACCCAACAACCACCTTTGAACTTGTCGCTTGCCACATATGCTACAGCGCCATCGCCTATTGTCGCTTGCTCCTCTGCATCTTCAGGTGGATCAACTGGGGTGCTGGCACTCTAGGTACCACAGAGAACAATTGTTGGACTGAAGAGGGTGTGGTCTCCCCCACCGCCAGCAGCCCAACACCACCACCCCGTCCTGGCTGGCCGCCACCACAACCTTCCACCATGGCACCTGCGGATGCCAACGCTCCTTGTGAGTCAGGCTGGTCACAGTGGAGAGTAACTTACACTACTGTCATGCATATGACACTAGTCTGAGTTATTACCTCTGTAGTGCAAAGTAACAAAGTAACATAGTAGTAGTTGTCTTTATTTATTTGCTTATAGACTCATTTTTTCTTGAGAAGCGTTACATTACAGTAACATATTATATTGCTCAAAACACATCTCTCCTCATTAAATACATGCCACATAAGCAAATTTGTCTTGGACTGCACTATGTTACTCCCTTCGGTCCTTTTTACTTTGCATATAAAAATTGTCTGAAGTCAAACTTCGTAAAGTTTGACCATATTTATATGAAAAAATATTAACATCCATAATGTTAAATTTATATAGTATGAAAATTAAAGTCATGATGCATCTAATGTTGTTGATTTCACATTCAAAATGTTGGTATTTTTTTCTATCAATCTGGTCAAAGTTTACGAGGTTTGACTTCAGACAAATTTTATATGTGAACTAAAAAGGACCGGAGGGAGTACTAGCCACTATGACTAGCTTGAGGGCTCGGCGCGGGTTCCACTCCACACCGAATTACGACAAGAGATTTCCATTTGTTTTTGTCTTGACCAGCTTATGATTGGCCGGCCATCAATGTCTCAGGGGAGACACATTACCAACTTATTACGTGAGTTTTGCATATCTTTTTTCTCACCGTCTTCTTCATTTGAGCTTGGCTAACGTTTTTCCATCATGGGTTCATGGCCAACCCACGAGAATAAGACCCTTTCGTCTGTTTCTTCATCTGAGAGCTTGGTGATGTTGGGGTCTTTTGGTCAGCCCATCGAGCATGGTTGGTAATTTGAATGTAGCTCCTTCTTGGAGCATCCTTGTCCACGTTTGAGTGCATGCATGCTTTCCGTAGGAAAAAATACTTCCATAGTTAACGGTGGATGGACAAGGAAATCCGAACAATGCTAATCACAAGAATTAGCCGCGACACCCACCACACACACATGGACAAAAGGCCTTGTATCTGTCTTCTTTGCCACTCCTTCTTTAATGCGACAATACACATGCTATTGCGTATTCAAGAAAAAAAAATCAGAACATAACTTCAGTGCCCCATGGTAGTTCAAGGACTCCTCATGTGGATCACTTGGGGGGTATGAGACTTGTAATAAGAAGTAACATATTCGAAAGAACCGCTTAGTGAAATCACAAATCATTTCTCAGTCGTTAGGGCATGGACGAATGTTGCTGCCTGTCTTCCCAAGCTTCTTCAAGCATTGTCTAAAGGAGTTTTGCTTCGATACATCCCCTTAAATGTTTACATGAAACTTAAAGTTACTTAAAAAAGCTACCGTCATATTTTCTGGTAGATCAAACATATTGAATAAATTGATTTGGATATAAAAGATTATAATACCCTTTTTGATCGAAGGAGTAACCTATAATCTCCACCTTTAATCTGCATCATAATTTGTAAACTTTTTTAGAGGGGTGTACAAAAGCAAAGTTCTGTCTAAAGTGTTTTCTCACGAAACATCATTTAATCTGTATGTAATTTTTTCTGCAGGTTAATTCGTATGTGGTTATGACTACAATATATGGACGTGCGGACGCTTGTGGCCTCTCGCAGTTGACAGAAAATGGTTGTGCAACATTTATTCAACCAGTTTGGCTGGCGCGAGCCACTCGTAGATTATGTGTGAGTTATGTAATCTTGAGCCCAACCGGTTGTGGTCCTGTTTTTTCTATTTGTATCTTGAACTTGATTCAAATTTAATAAAATAGTTACTGAAAACAAGCCATCCTTTAATTGAAGGTAGAGCCATTTGATGAGTTAATGATTCAAGCAAGATCAAAACTATCAATGCAATTCGGATGTCAGACCCAACGGATTAGTACACCTCGCAGTTGCATGTTGAAGAAACAGATCGGAATCAAGATTGGAAAAGAAAGGACCATTGGACTAAATCTGATCCCTTAAATAACTCATCGTGCATAGAGAAGTTTCAAGTCGCCACCACGAAGCATCAATCCCGCGCACACAAAGGCATAGCCATGGCTGCTCTAGACAGGTCCTGCCTCGTCGGCCCGGTGCCGTTCAAGGACGTCAACGGGGACGACGACCACGTGATCTCCCCGCCGGATGAGTACGCACAGTGGCGGAGCTTGGGCCAAAATTCTGGAGGGGCAATGGGCTGAGGGGGGGCTAAATTATGAGGTCTGGCCTTATTTTCCTATTCTTATGGCCCAAATACCTAGGGGTAGTGAGGGATTTCTTCATGGGCTGGGGGGGCGGTGGCCCAGGTTGCACTCCAAGAAGCTCCGCCACTGAGTACGCAGACATAGTTTCCGCCTTCCCGAGCATCGGCGGCCCGGACTTGCACCTGCGGCTCTACCAGGACGTCTGGTTGTTCAACGAACTCGTCCCTGGGTTTATCTCCGTCCAGCGGCGCTTCACCCCGCGGCCCAGGGACGTGCTCCTCGCGAGCCCTCCGAAGTGCGGCACCACCTGTCTCAAGGTGCTCGCCTTCGCGACCATGGCGCGGGCCGCCTACCCGCTCTCCGACGCCGACCACCAGCTCCTCCGCCTCAACCCGCACGAGTGCGTCCCCTTCATGGAGGCCCTGTTCAGCGCTGGTCAGGAAGCCAAGCTGGACGCGCTGCCGTCGCCTAGGCTCCTGCACACGCACATGCACCACTCCATGCTGCCTCGCTCCCTCGCCGACAACCCCGACTGCAAGATCATCTTCGTCTGCAGGTAATACTACAACTTCGTGAGCATGCACGGTCAAGCTGCTTCTTGTTCTCTTATCTCCGGTCACCAACGGAGAGCGGCATGCATGCAGGGAGCCCAAGGACATGCTGGTTTCCACATGGCACTTCATCAAAAGCGCAGGGGGCAACAGCAACTCATCCTTCTCCGACCTCTTCGAGCTGGCATGCGAGGGTAAGAACCCCTATGGCCCCATCTGGGGCCACATCCTGGGCTACTGGAGAGCGAGCAAAGCAGCTCCGGGGAGAGTCCTGTTCCTGAGGTACGAAGAGATGTTGGCCGATCCGGTCAGCGCTGTCAGGGAGCTCGCGCGGTTCCTCGGCGTGCCGTTCTCGCCGGCCGAGGAGGCGGCGGGGTTGCCGACGGACATTGCCGAGATGTGCAGCATCGACACGATGAGAGGCCTCGACGCCAACAAAACAGGAAGCAGTGGGACGTTCGTCAAGTTCCCGCATGAAACCTTCTTCCGAAAGGGGGTCGAGGGGGACTGGGTGAACCATATGACCCCGGAGATGGCCCGGCGCATCGATGCCATTGTCGAGGACAAGCTCCGTGGATCCGGCCTCACCTTCTCGTCGTGAGTCTCACTTGGCAAGACCGCCCTATGATCAAGTTGAGCCCAGTGGCTTGATGAGTGCTCATCGTGTATGTATCCATTTGATTCTTCATTTGAAGTCAATAAAATTCATTTTTTGTCAGAAAAAGAAAAGTATTTTGTGGAAAACCTTGATACTGCTTGTTCTACTTTTGAGGGAAAAGCTCCTGGATGCCTCAGTTCCTTTCGATGTTTTCTCTTATTTTGCTTTAGTCGAGTTGACGAGACCTGGTGCTCTAACCTTCGTCTAATGAGAGGCTGGGGTAGTTTCTATTTTCACCGCTACTTCCTCCGTCCCATAATCAGTGGCGGTGCCAGGATCAAAACCTTGTGATGTCAAGTTTCTATAATGATTTGTTTTTGTAGAAAATTAATATGAGTAGTATATAATGAGACAATGATGCAAGAAATTGTCCTCTATTCCATTACTCGAGTCAGACTGAAGACATGCTATCCATTTACCAAACTGAAAATCTGACAAAAACAAGATATTGCTGAGAAAATATGGCTAAGAAAAATGACATATTTTTTTGTAAGGAACAATCTCTTAGTTTCTAATATTGCTCGCGAGATAAGAAAATTGGAAGATAACTAGAGAAGCTGAGAAGGAAGATATAACTTAACTACAACCAAAAGGGGCACTAGGCAATTGCCTCGTATTGGTGTTGGACTGGATATTGACCGGTGACGATGATGCGTCATGCGTCGCTCACGGCTCACGGCTCACCGGAGGTTGGCCGTGCTTGAAGCCCAAACCAAAGATCACTTCTTGGAGAGGTTAGAGATTTACACCGGGAGCAATTAGTTAACGAGCGCTTCTTCGGGAGCCTCGCAACGATCAGCGCTATTTAGCGCGCTCTCAGCCATTCGCCATGTGTCGCGCTCTGGACGCTTTCTTTGGATTTTTTTTATTTTTCCGCACGCGTTTTCGGCCTTTTAAACGGTTTTTTTCGGGTTTTTTCGACGTTTTGGTTTTCCTCCGGTCTTCCTTAGCTTTTTGATCAAAAAATTGGAAAAAAATTATTTTGCGTGAAAAAACGTGTTTTTTTCTCTTTCGCAAAAGTCACGGTTTTTTTCTGCGAGAGTCACAGTCGTGCCTTTCGGAAACGGAAAAAACACGTTTTCTGTTTTTTTTTCTTTCGCGAGAGTCACAGTTTTTCTTCCGCGAGAGGCACGGTTGTGCTTTCGCGAGAGTCACGGCCGTGCCTCTCGGAAAGGGAAAAATAAAACACATTTTTTGTTTTTTTTCTTTCGCGAGAGTCACAGTTTTGCTTCCGCGAGAGGCACGGTTGTGCTTTCGCGAGAGTCACGGCCATGCCTCTCAGAAAGGAAAAAAACACGTTTTCAGTTTTTTTTTTCTTTCGTGGGAGTCACGGTTTTGCTTCCGCGAGAGGCATGGTTGTGCTTTCCGTGACTCTCTGAAACGAAAAAAACGTGTTTTCTGTTTTTTTTTCTTTCACGAGAGTCACGGTTTTGCTTTCACAAGAGGCATGGGTATGATTTCGCGAGAGGTATGGGTGTGCCTTTTTCGGAAAGGGAAAAAACCGTGCTCCCGGTTCGGTTTTTTCGCCCGATTTTTTCATGAAAAAAAAGTTCGTCAAAAGCTATCAACATGGGATCTACTTTTGAAGATCTCGACGCGAGAAATCCAATGATGAAAACGGTTCGAGATTTGGACGCACGGTTTAAAAGATAATAAAGCGTTTTGAATAAACAAATCTACGGAAAAGGGAAAACTCCCAGGTTGCGACAAGTGACGCGCCGTATGTGCATCACTTGTCGCGATCTGGGAAAGTGGAGTGTTCTTTGCAACGAGTACTCTTAATTAATGATTTCGGTTTATACCGATGAAAACACAAAAGATGGAGAGGAGAATCACATGATTTATGCGATCAAGGAAGTTATTACGACTTACTTTGCTTTCATTTGCCAAGCCAAACGGTGACACAACGTAGATGACCGTGGGCCTATGTAGTCATTTTCTATAGCATTTTTCTTTTGAGCCGATCTATAGTATTTATTTGTTCTGCCACTATACCGATTTTTGACTTGCCAAATTGCTGTGTAGTCAAGCGACTACACAGCCAGAACCTGGCTTCGCCACTGCCCATAATATAAGAGCATATTTTACACTAGCGTAGGATAAAAAATGTTTTTATATTAGGGACGGATGGAGTCGGCTTATATGTTTGTTCGTAGTAGTCATGTAGTGATTCACTTGTGTGTTGATAACTGTAAAAAGATGATCGGGTGGGGGTCGACCCTCCATTGTTCCTCGTGTCATAGAACATCTTTAGCAGACCCCTTAAAAAGCCAAAACTGTAAAATAACCATTTTTTTTACAGGGATTGAACGAAAAAAACTTATCCGACCTGATCCGTCAAGAACGGATGACCTGCACATATTTATGAGGGAAACCCTAAAGCAAGCCTCCAATCCCTTGGATGTTCAGGATTCACGGAGTTTTACAGTTCACCTAAAAAAGATGGTTGGCAGGAGGGAAGTTGCAGATCCAACCGCCAGAATAGTCCTCGTCCCGACCAAGATCAATCTTATTGGTCTCGATTCCGGGCAAATTTCGGTCGGACAGGCACAATTCGAAGTTATTCTAGTTGATTTTTACAGGCCAGCACGAGCTTCGTGCGTTGCTCCTTGGGAGGGAGAGCGACATGCCGCAGCCGCCATGGCAGTTTTGTGGACGGGAGGTACGTCGGTGTCACCGACGAGGTGCGGGGGCGCTGCACAAGCAGTCGCGGCTTTGGTCGATGCTCCACCGCACGACCGGGAGCGGGCGAGGCGGCATGTGAGGTGTGCGGCGACACCTGGTTCATCATGTGCGGAGGTGACTGCGCGATGTGTGGGGTTTGCGGCGGCAAGGATTCAGAGAGACGTTGATGAGAGGAAGAAGAAGAAGACCACGGGGAATATTCAATTTTACCGTAATCGGGATCCACACGATACCGCAAAATAGGTTTAATGTTCCGCTTATAATGCTTTACAGTACCACGATATAATGGATCTACTAGAGATGCTCTTCCATCAACTCTAACCAGCCGCCTAAAATTTCGAGGAGTAAACGGCCAAGTATTCTTTAGTGGAGTACTTTTGCACCTCTAAAAATGGTCGTTTCTAACCGATCCTTTACTTAGCGGAGTAAATTTTTGTTTTTAAAAAAAATCAATTCTAATTTTACATAGTACATTGCAACTATATGTTTGCATACAAATTAAATCCAAACATAATAATTAAGGTTCGCACAATTCATGAATATTACAAATTCATAGTTTACAAACTAAATTATTCAAATTCAAACACACATAAGGGTTCAAATGAAGTAAATAGCATGATAAAAGCACAACTACGAAGTGCTATGGAGATACCAATGATGCTCCACAAGATCATCTTGGAGCTGGGTATGAACTTCTCGGTTCTCGATCCTGCAATGCACTGCAAGGAATCTTTGTATCATATTTGTATCGTGCTCTGGCTCAACGGGATACCCATTGATGATGTACCGATAGTTCTCATGCATGCCTCTCTCATCTTCAATGTCATGGTATGCAAGATGATGCAACATGTCTTGATTTGCCATAGAACCTTGGGGTTCCAATACTCGGCATGGCCATGAACGATGGCAAATCGCTTCTAAAGCACACCAAAAGCTCTCTTCACATCTTTCCTTGTCGACTCTTGACGTGTTGCAAAGTGAGATATGTTAACTTTTGGCCGCGGAATTGTCTTGACAATTGTAGCCCATGAAAGATAGATGCCATCCACAAGATAGTAAACCATCGTGTACTCACGGCCATTGACCTTATAGTTACAAGGAGGATCCTCTCCGGCAACAAGCCTAGCAAACATTGGTGATCTCAATAGCACATTTAGGTCATTATGAGAGTCAGGAAATCCAAAGAGTAAATGTCAAATCCATGGACAATTTGATGCAACAGCCTCAAGAATGATTGTTGGATTGTTGTAGTGGCCTTTGTACCGACCTTCCAGTGCATGCAGTCAATTGATCCTAGCATCCTAGACCATCCTCTTTCTTCACTCAATGCACACAGCCTCTCGGTGTCTTCCTCGTTGGGTGCCTCATGTACTCCGGCCCAAAGATATCGATCACGACTCTTGTGTATCTTCAAATGGCCTCCAAGATTGTATCTTCTCCAATGCAGACATAATCATCAATGGCATCAGTCGAACACCTATAGGACATCACTCGAACAACCGCGATATACTTCATCAAAGCACTCACACTTATATCTTCGCATGCATTTCTCCTGAGCTTGAACCAATCATCGTCCTTCTCCACGTCATTTGTAATGGTGAGAAATATACTTGTGTGCATGCGCCAACGAAAATACTTCTCCGGATTGCTTGGATTAGGGTTGAAACAATCTCTCATAATCTTGACATGGCCCTCCGCTGTATCAGTGTTCAGGTGTATGCGGCTGAACTGTGATCCTCTCCTCAGTTGCCGAATATCATAATTGTAGATCATGCGAACGACCATTTCAAAGTCATTGTCATCTTCCTCCTCCTCCGATGACGAAGAGTCCTCGATGATCATCTCTCTCAGCCTCTTCATCTTCAATTTAAATGACTCGGATCAATTCAATTGACAAAAGAAAAAATGAGACAAAAAAGCCAAAAAAAGTCATCTAGGCAAACTGTCCAACACTTGCAAGGCAACGGAGGTGTCATGGCCGGTCAATGACCTTGAGTCGATACTAGCAGTTGGCGTGGCGTGGAGATGGATGGCACAACATGGTGAGGTGTCAGCGAGGCTACCAGGAAGAAGATCTGAGCTACTTTTTGGCAACGGGTTTGATGCGGCGGTAACACCGCGTTTGAGCTTGATTCCGCAGAAGGCGGTGGTCGACAACCGGCTTAGACTAGGGCAGAAGGGCGGCAAGAGTGAAGGAAGGCGGTGGGGTGTTGGCGGAGGTGGTGGGTAGTCACCGGCAGTAGCGCGGCGATGACGCG